ATCGTGGCTTTCCTGTTCTTGAGAAGAAGATTTTTAAAGATTTTTCCTATATATTTCTATGTAAAACTTTGCTCCTCCATTGTGGCCCCGCCCTACCCCTGGGGGTCATGGTTTGAACAAAATAGAATCTACACTACCTGAGGATGCTTACATATAAATAAGACTCATCGTGGCTTTCCTGTTCTTGAGAAGAAGATTTTTAAAGATTTTTCCTATATATTTCTTTGTAAAACTTTGATCCTCCATTGTGGCCCCGCCCTACCCCCGGGGGTCATGGTTTGAACAAACTTGAATCTACACTACCTAAGGATGCTTCCATATAAATATGACTCATCATGACTTTGCTGTTACTGAGAAGAAGATTTTTAAAGATTTTTCCTATATATTTCTATGTAAAACTTTGATCCTCCATTGTGGCCACGCCTTACCCCCGGGGGTCATGATTTTAACAAATTTGAATCTACACTACCCGAAGATGCTTCCATATAAATATGACTCATCATGACTTTGCTGTTCTTGAGAAGATTTTTAAAGATTTTTCCTATATATTTCTATGTAAAACTTTGATCCTTCATTGTGGCCCCGCCCTACCCCCGGGGGTCATGATTTGAACAAAATAGAATCTACACTACCTAAGGATGCTTCCATATAAAAATGACTCATCATGACTTTGCTGTTCTTGAGAAGAAGATTTTTAAAGATTTTTCCTATATATTTCTTTGTAAAACTTTGATCCTCCATTGTGGCCCCGCCCTACCCCCGGGGGTCATGATTTGAACAAAATAGAATCTACACTACCTAAGGATGCTTCCATATAAAAATGACTCATTATGACTTTGCTGTTCTTGAGAAGAAGATTTTTAAAGATTTTTCCTATAAATTCCTTTGTAAAACTTTGATCCTCCATTGTGGCCCCGCCCTACCCCCGGACGTCATGATTTGAGCAAACTTGAATGTAAACTACCTGAAGATGCTTCCACATGAGTTTCATCTTTCCTGGCCCTATGGTTCTTGAGAAGATTTTTAAATGATGCATTTATTTTTTCACTAATTCCTAATTATCTCCCTTTGAAAGAGGGCGTGGCCCTTCATTTGAACAAACTTGAATCCCCTTCACCCAAGGATTATTTGTGGCAAGTTTGGTTGAAATTGGCTCAGTGGTTCTTGAGAAGAAGATGAAAATGTGAAAAGTTTACAACAACAACGACAACGACGACAGACAACGGACAAATTTTGATCGGAAAAGCTCACTTGAGCCTTTGGCTCAGGTGAGCTAAAAATATTCGTTTTAATGCCCCTTTTTAAACATGAATAAAAATACTTCCCTTACTTTTAATCTTAAATATTCAGAAAGCAGATTAAATATTATGTCACTTGTTTTTTTTTAAGCTTAAATAACTGATCATTAAAAAATGTTTATAAGAGAATAAAAAGAACAGAGAAAATCACTTATAAACAGACAGATAATAAAGTAACAACCAGCCTTTTCTTCCACAGAATATCTTGTGATTAAATGCCTTTATATGAATTTAACAGAGTCAAGTTCTTAATTCCTAAGCTGTTGATGTCATGAGTAATCCTTTGTTTTCCAAATAAAGTAAAATGTTGACCGAGTATTTTTTATACAAATTGTTAAGCCATCATTTGATTGCTCCTAGTCTGTTCTTTCATAAAATTTTCCAACATGAAAATGATTATGAAACTATTTTGTTATGTTTTCACTTCACATCCCATGCAATTGTTGATGATCAATTAAATTGCAAGCATGTGGGAAGAACTTTAATAAGAATAAAGTCCAACAGGTTTCTAGTCTGTCCCTGATCTCTGTATGCCTATCAGAAATTATTCAGTTACATCTGATGTGGTGGTGCAGGTGGTACATGAAATATGGAGATAACAAACGGTAATCAAGCTGAAAGTCCATCAAAACAATACAAACACGGAGCAGAGCATATATCCAAAAAGGTTAGATAAAATTTGTTGTTAATGTACTCAGGGTTGTCCATTGAATTCTGTGAGTGTAGCTATTTAGTGTGTCCATCGCTTTGTTATAACAATGGACTCGGCACTGCCCATTGAATTCTGTGAGTTTAGCTGTTTAGTGTGTCCATCACTTTGTTAATAACAATGTACTCAGCACTGTCCATTGAATTCCATGAGTTTAGCTATTAAGTATGTCCATCACTTTGTTATAACAATGTACTCAGCACTGTCCATTGAATTCTGTGAGTTTAGCTGTTTAGTGTGTCCATCGCTTTGTTATAACAATGTACTCGGCACTGTCCATTGAATTCTGTGAATTTAGCTGTTAAGTGTGTCCATCACTTTGTTTATAACAATGTACGATCAGCACTGTCCATTGAATTCTGTGAATTTAGCTATTTAGTGTGTCCATCATTTTGTTAATAAGAATGTACTCTGCACTATCCATTGAATTCTGTGAATTTAGCTATTTAGTGTGTCCATCACTTTGTTAATTAGAATGTACTCAGCACTGTCCATTGAATTCTGTGAATTTAGCTATTTAGTGTGTCCAACATTTTGTTATATAACAATGTACTCAGCACCCTCCATTGAATTCTGTGAGTTAGAATAAGCTATTTAGTGTCCAACTATTTAGTGTACTCAGAGCAGTCCATTGAATTCTGAGAGTTTAGCTGTTCAGTGTGTCAATTACTTTGTTAATGACAATGTACTCAGCACTGTTCATTGAATTCTGTGAGTTTAACTGTTTAGTGTGTCCATCACTTTGTTATAACAATGTCCACAGTACCATCCACTGATTTCTGTGAGTTTAGCTATTTAGTGTCCAGCTGTTTAGTGTACTCAGCACTTTCCATTGAATTCTGTGAGTTTAGCTGTTCAGTGTCCATCACTTTGTTAATAACAATGTACACAGCACGTCTATTGAATTCTGTGAGTTTAGCTGTTCAGTGTGTCAATCACTTTGTTATAACAATGTACTCAATTGAATTTAACGTGAGTTAAGCTTTTTAGTGTGTCCATCACTTTTTTAATAACAATGTACTCAGCACTGTCCATTGAATTCTATGAGTTTAGCTGTTTAGTGTGTCCATCACTTGTTAATAACAATGCATTGAATTCTGTGAGTTTAGCTGTTTAGTGTACTAGCACTGTCCATTGAATTCTGCAAGTTCAGGTATTTAGTGTGTCCATCACTTTGTTAATTAAAATGTACTTAGCAATGCAAATTGAATTCTTTGAGTTTAGCTATTTATAGTGTGTCCAATTTGAAAAAAAGTGACAAATGTATCCCCCTTGTCCAGAGATTTAGGATTAGGTGATCCATCCTCTACATTTTCAATAGATGGTGACATTAATTAGTTTCCTCTTGGCTAACTTTCTGTAAATGAAAAAAAGTATTTAAAATAATAAGACAATGGAAATGAATGGCATTATATGAAATTTGAAGAATTCTTTTTAAAGTTATCTATCTCTTATATTCTTTTGTACATATATTCATTTTTGCCACAAAGGGCTGAAAAAATAGGAGATAAGTCTGCCTTACAGAATGTAGAATTGAAGACTAAATATCTAGTCATATTCATCAACAGTATCATAGATTAACTAAGATGGTCACTTGAGCTCTATGAATTTCTCACACCATGATGACTAAATAAGCTCCAAACAGAACTAGAATTTTAGCATTGTGTGACAAAAAATTATTTGTAGAGTTATCTGCCCTGAAGGTCATGATAAATAATATTTTGGTAGAGAGTTCCAAGCTCTTCCTAACCAAGCTCCAAGTTTTCTTCCAGATTTGCAGAAAAGATGAAACGTTTCTAAAATTATGTGCATTTTCACTATATGATAATTTTGACCCTACCAAGAAGACAGAATCCATCTTGAGGTTCATTAAAATACTTTAATAGAAGGTTTCTTCCTAACCCTGATACATCCCATTTTCTCATGAACTGAGTGAGTAACCGAAGAAAGAGTTTCTAAGACCTTGTACTTCTTCACTATATAACATTCTGTTCTGGAGGTTAAACCTCAGCCCTTTGGGTCAAGATTTTTTTTCCCCAAATTGATAGACCTTAATGTTTTTCTTTACCATTCATTCAGTTTTTTAAAGATGTGTACTGGTAATTTTTTTTTTTTGAAATTTTATTTAATTTTAGCATTTTTTGCCCCTTTCCTGAGATCCCAGAGGTATGATGATTAAGAAGAAAACAATATATTTATCTTACCCTATGCTTTAAATCAAAGTTTCATGAAATTGGACAGAAAGTGTTTAAGAAGTTAAAAATACAGTAAAACATACTTATAGGGATGGGTAAAATTTGCCTCATTATAAATGTTATATCTGTTTAGTTTCCAATATATTTAAAATCATAGGGATTTAAAATCACTTCACTATAACCATGAATTCATTGTAAGCAAACATGTTATAAGTTTATTCTACTGTATTGAATTGTTACAATGTAATGGACAGCAGACAATGCATAAAACATCATGACGGACAAAAATGAATGGCAACTGATTGACTGCAGTGACCTTAAAAGTCTCATCATGTGAAAGGTATACATCTGGCCCCTTACCTTCACTTCCAGGTCAGGCTGCAGTCCATCCTTACTCTCTGCACTCTTGTTGATGCAAATTTGTCTGCTCTTAGAAACAATATTGATGCCAGTCTGCCTGTAAAGAAACAGTCTGGCGGGGTCATCAAAAATATTAATAAAACTTCAACAAATGAAAGAGATAACAAAATTTCACAGAATAGAAGGAGTTTGTAGAGCTTGTGTCTTACCTTCATTTTCAGGTCAGCACTTGTTGATCTATTTGAACTCTTCCTGAATCACGGCAACCTGCTCTTGGAATCAGGATCAATGCCAGCAAAATCACCTGCCTATGAACAAAAAAAAAGACACTAGGAATTCAAGAAATGAGAAAGACTCATAAAATCTAATGTACTTAATGAAATGCCTAGAGCTAGTGTCTGACCATCAATTGATGGTTGCATGGGCAGCAGTTAATCCTTATTCTCCCAAGGCTTGTTGTAGCATGATGGTATTATCCATGGGATTGAGGTCTGCCTCATCTTCTGCCTGTTAACAAAGAACATCCAAAGGTCATTAAAAAGAATGAGGCCTAGGTGCCACAATGTTCACCTTAGTCAACTTGGCCTTTTTATCAGTAGGGAAATTCTTAATTCATATTTTTTTTTTGCCCACCCTAGCCCCAAGGGTTTATAACTTACCTAATTTGAATCAACAAATTCTGGGGTTACTTCAACATTATTGCAAATAACATAGTCTTGCTGTTCTGCAACAATAGTAAATCCTCCTGGGACCTTGATTTGAACAAACTTGAATCTAAAATATGTCAGTATTAAGCTTCAATATATGTTTTATCTTTTTTGAGGGGTCGAGCAGATGATTTATAAACATTTTTGCCTGTGTCTTCCTATTTAAACATTTTAGCCCTTATTGTAGCCCCACCCTACCCCCAAGGATCATGATTTGAACAAACTTGAAACTACACTCTGCCAGGGAGTTTTCATATAAGTTTCATTTTTTTCTCTAGCTCGGTTTTAATGCAGAGAATTTATTTTTAAAAAAATGTTCCAATATGCTCCCATATAAACATTTGATCCCCTATTGTGCCCAATTCCTACTACTGGGAGCCATAATTTAAATTAACTTGAATCTATACAGGAAGCTTCAATATAAGTTTTTTTTACCTTGAATAACGGTTTATGAGAAAATGATATTTAACTGACTCAACCCAATATTGACTATTTCTTAAATCCCCCCCCCCCCCAATTTATCCCTTCTCCTTTTTCTCAAGTACCTCTCCTTGACTCAGGGTCTAGCTCTTTATTTGAACAAACTTGAATCCCCCTTTTACACAAGGATGTGGTTGAAAATGGACCAGTGGTTCTGGAGAAGAAGAAAAAATTGTGTCAAGTTTACAACAACACTCATGGTGACACACAACAGACAAACTTCAATTTAAAAGTTCACTTGGGCTCAGGTGATCTAAAAAAGAAATCACAGTATAGGTGCTCAGACTTGAATCTGACAAACAATGGATTTCTTCCTTGCAATGGGATTAAGGTTTACAAAACCATTCCTCTAAAAACATGAGGCCCGTGGGCCACAACACTTACCTGAGTAACTGTGACCCCTCTTGTTCATCAGCAGATTCTTTTTCCTATATATTCCCATGTTTAACTTGATCACTCATTGTAGCCCAATCCCATCTCCGGTGGGGGGGGGGGGGGAGGGGGGGTTGTTCATGATTTGAGAAAACTTGAATCTACACTAACTAAAGATACTTCTTTAAAATTATGACTTAACATGATTTATTGTAATTTACAGTTACAAAGGGATTGGGCACAAGTTCTGAAAACTTATTACGCCCTCTCCCTACATGTAAATTACACATTAAAATTGTCACACTTAAACATAAATTTTTAAAGTATATAATATTTGAAAAAGTTTACAAATCAATGCATTTTACAGATATATATCTATAAGATACAAATAATTTTGTACATATACATATACTGATATATTAATTATATTAATTAATGCTAACAAGGAAAACTACCAGAATGTTTAATAAATGTTTGAACAAAAGAAAAGAGACGTTCATTCTCAGCAGCATTCAATGAATCTAACCCCCCCCCCCCCCCCCCCCAATAAGAAATAAGTATCTAGAATGTAGATTTTGTCAAATTGTAAAAAATTATTTAAAAATTCATTTCTGGCTTTCATATACTTTTGACATAAAAAATATGTATCCTCTACTTTACCAAACTACCTGTGAATGCTTACATATAAAAATATGACTGATCATGGCTTTGCTGTTCTTCATCATCAGATTTCTTAAAGATTTTTTCTACCCCCTGTAGCTCCATCCTACCTCCAGGGGTCATCATTCGGACAAACTTTACACTTTGGAAGGATATTTTGGAATAAATATGACTGATAATGCCTTTACTGTTCTTGAGAGGAGGACTTTTAAAGTTTTTTTTCCTATAAATACCCATGTAAAATTTTGATTGCCCATTGAAGCCCCCCTCCCCCCTACAAGTCATGATTTGAGCAAATCTGAATCTACACTACCTGAAGATGCTTCCATATAAATATGATTAGTCATGCCTTTTCTTTTCTTGAGAAGAAGATTTTTTCCTACATATACCCTTGTAAAACTTTTATCACCTACAGTGGCCCCTCCCTACCCCCAGGTTTCATGAATTAAACAAATTTGAATCTGTACTATGTCAGGAAGTTTTAACATAAGTTTTTATCTTTTCTGGCTTAGTGATTCTTGAGAAGAAGATTTATTTAAATGACCCACCCCAATTTTTAGTTTTTCTTACATGTAATTATCTCCCCTTGGAAGAGGGTCTGATCCTTCATTTGAACAAGTTTGAATCCCCTTCACCCAAGAATACTTTTTGCCAAGTTTGATTGAAATTGGCCTGGTGGTTCTGGATAAAATTGCAAAAAGTTTATGAAGACAATGACAAAGAAGATAACAACAATGAAAACAATGATAGACAATGTTTCAATTATTATCAGAAAAACTCACCTGAGACTTTGGTTCAGGTGAGCTTATAAAAATTCAAGAGGTTAAAGTAGAAAAGTCAAATAGAAAACAGAGATAAAATCAAGTAAGAAAGACAAAAAAAACCCCCTCACAATTAAGTAATAAAAAAATTTGAAAATTGCAAGAAAAAAAAAAAGGTTTTTACTTACTCCTTGGCTAATGATGGCTGCTGGACATAGCTGGGCAATACACTCCTCTTCTTCTGTTCATCTGCCCTGGTCCTGTCCCTTCATCTCTCATCCTTGAAAATATATGATGAAGAAAAGATTAGTAATAATTCAATGCAATGTAAAACTCACAGATATTCAAGTAAACATAATCATTAAATCATTTTTAGATGGAAAATCAGTTAGTAAACCCCCCCCCCCCCCGAAAAAAACAAAACCAATAAGGTTGGTAAGGTTAGAATAGGAATTGGAAGGGGGGGATTAGAAGAGGTGGATGGTCAGTTATGTTAGTGTAGGGAGGAGATAAGAAAAAAAAAAGTCAGAAAGGATTAATAAACAGTACTTAAAATAAGACACTGGCTGTTAAAGTGGGTCCTGATGATGTTAAAATAAGGTGAAGTAGAGACTGAATCTTACAATGCATTCTATTCATGGCAGCAGTTGAATGGGAGAGGGACTACTCCTCACTTCAGGATCCTGGTCAGCCAACACATTCTTCTGCTAATAAAGAAAAAACAGAAACACCAAAGAAGGAATACTTGCATTTCAAATCAAGTAAGAAGCTTAATTTAAAAAAAATGCAGCTACTTGCTTACCACTTCAGACAAGGTTGGCTGCAGCATTTAGCTGGGAAATGGACTATTCCTCATTTGTTGGGTCATCTTTGGTCCTCCATTCTTCTTCCTTTTCTGAGCCCATGAAAATATAAAACTGACACAAGATTAGTAGAAATTCAAAACGATGCAACAAATCACACAAATTCAAGTAAAAATAATGATTACAATGCCTAATACAGCCAACATCAATTGGCAAGCAAAACCTCATGAAAGGCTGCAAAAAGTCAGAATCTTACAGTGCATTCTGCTTCATGTCTGCAGTTGAATAAGGGAGGGAATACTCCTCACTTCAGGGTGTTGGCCGGCTTGATCCTCCTTCCTGTTCCTCTTCTGAGCCCCTGAAAATATACAACTGACACAAGATTAGTAGAAATTCAAAACAATGCAGCAAATCACACAAATTCAAGTAAAAAAATCATTACAACAAAATGAGTTGAAAAATCATGACAGTTAAGTTAGGAAGAGGAATGAATGGGAATGGGGAGGAGGGTGGTTAGTTATGTTAGAATAGGGAGGGGGATAGGACAAAAGAAAGAGAGAAAATAGAAAAAAAAAGCAAAAAAAATACTTCCATATAAGCTTCCATGGCTGTTGATGTGGCTCCTGGTGATGTTCCTTCTGAACTGCATCAGCATCTATACATCCTGTCAATTGAAAGTCAAGACATCAAAGCCTAATACAGCCAACATCAATTGGCAAGCAAAACCTCATGAAAGGCTGCAAAAAGTCAGAATCTTACAGTGCATTCTGCTTCATGTCTGCAGTTGAATAAGGGAGGGAATACTCCTCACTTCAGGGTGTTGGCCGGCTTGATCCTCCTTCCTGTTCCTCTTCTGAGCCCCTGAAAATATACAATTGACACAAGATTAGTAGAAATTCAAAACAATGCAACAAATCACACAAATTCAAGTAAAAAAATCATTACAACAAAATGAGTTGAAAAATCAGTTAGCAAACAATGACAGTTAAGTTAGGAAGAGGAATGAATGGGAATGGGGAGGAGGGTGGTTAGTTATGTTAGAATAGGGAGGGGGATAGGACAAAAGAAAGAGAGAAAATAGGAAAAAAAAGCAAAAAAAATACTTCCATATAAGCTTCCATGGCTGTTGATGTGGCTCCTGGTGATGTTCCTTCTGAACTGCATCAGCATCTATACATCCTGTCAATTGAAAGTCAAGACATCAAAGCCTAATACAGCCAACATCAATTGGCAAGCAAAACCTCATGAAAGGCTGCAAAAAGTCAGAATCTTACAGTGCATTCTGCTTCATGTCTGCAGTTGAATAAGGGAGGGAATACTCCTCACTTCAGGGTGTTGGCCGGCTTGATCCTCCTTCCTGTTCCTCTTTTGAGCCCCTGAAAATATACAATTGACACAAGATTAGTAGAAATTCAAAACAATGCAACAAATCACACAAATTCAAGTAAAAAAATCATTACAACAAAATGAGTTGAAAAATCAGTTAGCAAACAATGACAGTTAAGTTAGGAAGAGAATGTAGGAGAAAGGGCAGGAGGGTGGTTAGTTATGTTAGAATAGGGAGGGGGATAGGACAAAAGAAAGAGAGAAAATAGGAAAAAAAAGCAAAAAAAATACTTCCATATAAGCTTCCATGGCTGTTGATGTGGCTCCTGGTGATGTTCCTTCTGAACTGCATCAGCATCTATACATCCTGTCAATTGAAAGTCAAGACATCAAAGCCTAATACAGCCAACATCAATTGGCAAGCAAAACCTCATGAAAGGCTGCAAAAAGTCAGAATCTTACAGTGCATTCTGCTTCATGTCTGCAGTTGAATAAGGGAGGGAATACTCCTCACTTCAGGGTGTTGGCCGGCTTGATCCTCCTTCCTGTTCCTCTTCTGAGCCCCTGAAAATATACAACTGACACAAGATTAGTAGAAATTCAAAACAATGCAACAAATCACACAAATTCAAGTAAAAAAATCATTACAACAAAATGAGTTGAAAAATCAGTTAGCAAACAATGACAGTTAAGTTAGGAAGAGAATGTAGGGGAAAGGGCAGGAGGGTGGTTAGTTATGTTAGAATAGGGAGGGGGATAGGACAAAAGAAAGAGAGAAAAGAGAAAAAAAGCAAAAAAATACTTCCATATAAGCTTCCATGGCTGTTGATGTGGCTCCTGGTGATGTTCCTTCTGAACTGCATCAGCATCTATACATCCTGTCAATTGAAAGTCAAGACATCAAAGCCTAATACAGCCAACATCAATTGGCAAGCAAAACCTCATGAAAGGCTGCAAAAAGTCAGAATCTTACAGTGCATTCTGCTTCATGTCTGCAGTTGAATAAGGGAGGGAATACTCCTCACTTCAGGGTGTTGGCCGGCTTGATCCTCCTTCCTGTTCCTCTTCTGAGCCCCTGAAAATATACAATTGACACAAGATTAGTAGAAATTCAAAACAATGCAACAAATCACACAAATTCAAGTAAAAAAATCATTACAACAAAATGAGTTGAAAAATCATGACAGTTAAGTTAGGAAGAGGAATGAATGGGAATGGGGAGGAGGGTGGTTAGTTATGTTAGAATAGGGAGGGGGATAGGACAAAAGAAAGAGAGAAAATAGGAAAAAAAAAGCAAAAAAAATACTTCCATATAAGCTTCCATGGCTGTTGATGTGGCTCCTGGTGATGTTCCTTCTGAACTGCATCAGCATCTATATATCCTGTCAATTGAAAGTCAAGACATCAAAGCCTAATACAGCCAACATCAATTGGCAAGCAAAACCTCATGAAAGACTGCAAAAAGTCAAAATCTTACAGTGCATTCTGCTTCATGTCTGCAGTTGAATAAGGGAGGGAATACTCCTCACTTCAGGGTGTTGGCCGGCTTGATCCTCCTTCCTGTTCCTCTTTTGAGCCCCTGAAAATATACAATTGACACAAGATTAGTAGAAATTCAAAACAATGCAACAAATCACACAAATTCAAGTAAAAAAATCATTACAACAAAATGAGTTGAAAAATCAGTTAGCAAACAATGACAGTTAAGTTAGGAAGAGAATGTAGGAGAAAGGGCAGGAGGGTGGTTAGTTATGTTAGAATAGGGAGGGGGATAGGACAAAAGAAAGAGAGAAAATAGAAAAAAAAGCAAAAAAAATACTTCCATATAAGCTTCCATGGCTGTTGATGTGGCTCCTGGTGATGTTCCTTCTGAACTGCATCAGCATCTATACATCCTGTCAATTGAAAGTCAAGACATCAAAGCCTAATACAGCCAACATCAATTGGCAAGCAAAACCTCATGAAAGGCTGCAAAAAGTCAGAATCTTACAGTGCATTCTGCTTCATGTCTGCAGTTGAATAAGGGAGGGAATACTCCTCACTTCAGGGTGTTGGCCGGCTTGATCCTCCTTCCTGTTCCTCTTCTGAGCCCCTGAAAATATACAACTGACACAAGATTAGTAGAAATTCAAAACAATGCAACAAATCACACAAATTCAAGTAAAAAAATCATTACAACAAAATGAGTTGAAAAATCAGTTAGCAAACAATGACAGTTAAGTTAGGAAGAGAATGTAGGGGAAAGGGCAGGAGGGTGGTTAGTTATGTTAGAATAGGGAGGGGGATAGGACAAAAGAAAGAGAGAAAAGAGAAAAAAAGCAAAAAAATACTTCCATATAAGCTTCCATGGCTGTTGATGTGGCTCCTGGTGATGTTCCTTCTGAACTGCATCAGCATCTATACATCCTGTCAATTGAAAGTCAAGACATCAAAGCCTAATACAGCCAACATCAATTGGCAAGCAAAACCTCATGAAAGGCTGCAAAAAGTCAGAATCTTACAGTGCATTCTGCTTCATGTCTGCAGTTGAATAAGGGAGGGAATACTCCTCACTTCAGGGTGTTGGCCGGCTTGATCCTCCTTCCTGTTCCTCTTCTGAGCCCCTGAAAATACACAATTGACACAAGATTAGTAGAAATTCAAAACAATGCAACAAATCACACAAATTCAAGTAAAAAAATCATTACAACAAAATGAGTTGAAAAATCATGACAGTTAAGTTAGGAAGAGGAATGAATGGGAATGGGGAGGAGGGTGGTTAGTTATGTTAGAATAGGGAGGGGGATAGGACAAAAGAAAGAGAGAAAATAGGAAAAAAAAGCAAAAAAAATACTTCCATATAAGCTTCCATGGCTGTTGATGTGGCTCCTGGTGATGTTCCTTCTGAACTGCATCAGCATCTATACATCCTGTCAATTGAAAGTCAAGACATCAAAGCCTAATACAGCCAACATCAATTGGCAAGCAAAACCTCATGAAAGGCTGCAAAAAGTCAGAATCTTACAGTGCATTCTGCTTCATGTCTGCAGTTGAATAAGGGAGGGAATACTCCTCACTTCAGGGTGTTGGCCGGCTTGATCCTCCTTCCTGTTCCTCCTCTGAGCCCCTGAAAATATACAATTGACACAAGATTAGTAGAAATTCAAAACAATGCAACAAATCACACAAATTCAAGTAAAAAAATCATTACAACAAAATGAGTTGAAAAATCAGTTAGCAAACAATGACAGTTAAGTTAGGAAGAGGAATGAATGGGAATGGGGAGGAGGGTGGTTAGTTATGTTAGAATAGGGAGGGGGATAGGACAAAAGAAAGAGAGAAAATAGGAAAAAAAAGCAAAAAAAATACTTCCATATAAGCTTCCATGGCTGTTGATGTGGCTCCTGGTGATGTTCCTTCTGAACTGCATCAGCATCTATACATCCTGTCAATTGAAAGTCAAGACATCAAAGCCTAATACAGCCAACATCAATTGGCAAGCAAAACCTCATGAAAGGCTGCAAAAAGTCAGAATCTTACAGTGCATTCTGCTTCATGTCTGCAGTTGAATAAGGGAGGGAATACTCCTCACTTCAGGGTGTTGGCCGGCTTGATCCTCCTTCCTGTTCCTCTTCTGAGCCCCTGAAAATATACAATTGACACAAGATTAGTAGAAATTCAAAACAATGCAACAAATCACACAAATTCAAGTAAAAAAATCATTACAACAAAATGAGTTGAAAAATCATGACAGTTAAGTTAGGAAGAGGAATGAATGGGAATGGGGAGGAGGGTGGTTAGTTATGTTAGAATAGGGAGGGGGATAGGACAAAAGAAAGAGAGAAAATAGGAAAAAAAAGCAAAAAAAATACTTCCATATAAGCTTCCATGGCTGTTGATGTGGCTCCTGGTGATGTTCCTTCTGAACTGCATCAGCATCTATACATCCTGTCAATTGAAAGTCAAGACATCAAAGCCTAATACAGCCAACATCAATTGGCAAGCAAAACCTCATGAAAGACTGCAAAAAGTCAAAATCTTACAGTGCATTCTGCTTCATGTCTGCAGTTGAATAAGGGAGGGAATACTCCTCACTTCAGGGTGTTGGCCGGCTTGATCCTCCTTCCTGTTCCTCTTTTGAGCCCCTGAAAATATACAATTGACACAAGATTAGTAGAAATTCAAAACAATGCAACAAATCACACAAATTCAAGTAAAAAAATCATTACAACAAAATGAGTTGAAAAATCAGTTAGCAAACAATGACAGTTAAGTTAGGAAGAGAATGTAGGAGAAAGGGCAGGAGGGTGGTTAGTTATGTTAGAATAGGGAGGGGGATAGGACAAAAGAAAGAGAGAAAATAGAAAAAAAAGCAAAAAAAATACTTCCATATAAGCTTCCATGGCTGTTGATGTGGCTCCTGGTGATGTTCCTTCTGAACTGCATCAGCATCTATACATCCTGTCAATTGAAAGTCAAGACATCAAAGCCTAATACAGCCAACATCAATTGGCAAGCAAAACCTCATGAAAGGCGGCAAAAAGTCAGAATCTTACAGTGCATTCTGCTTCATGTCTGCAGTTGAATAAGGGAGGGAATACTCCTCACTTCAGGGTGTTGGCCGGCTTGATCCTCCTTCCTGTTCCTCTTCTGAGCCCCTGAAAATATACAACTGACACAAGATTAGTAGAAATTCAAAACAATGCAACAAATCACACAAATTCAAGTAAAAAAATCATTACAACAAAATGAGTTGAAAAATCAGTTAGCAAACAATGACAGTTAAGTTAGGGAGAGAATGTAGGGGAAAGGGCAGGAGGGTGGTTAGTTATGTTAGAATAGGGAGGGGGATAGGACAAAAGAAAGAGAGAAAAGAGAAAAAAAGCAAAAAAATACTTCCATATAAGCTTCCATGGCTGTTGATGTGGCTCCTGGTGATGTTCCTTCTGAACTGCATCAGCATCTATACATCCTGTCAATTGAAAGTCAAGACATCAAAGCCTAATACAGCCAACATCAATTGGCAAGCAAAACCTCATGAAAGGCTGCAAAAAGTCAGAATCTTACAGTGCATTCTGCTTCATGTCTGCAGTTGAATAAGGGAGGGAATACTCCTCACTTCAGGGTGTTGGCCGGCTTGATCCTCCTTCCTGTTCCTCTTCTGAGCCCCTGAAAATATACAATTGACACAAGATTAGTAGAAATTCAAAACAATGCAACAAATCACACAAATTCAAGTAAAAAAATCATTACAACAAAATGAGTTGAAAAATCATGACAGTTAAGTTAGGAAGAGGAATGAATGGGAATGGGGAGGAGGGTGGTTAGTTATGTTAGAATAGGGAGGGGGATAGGACAAAAGAAAGAGAGAAAATAGGAAAAAAAAGCAAAAAAAATACTTCCATATAAGCTTCCATGGCTGTTGATGTGGCTCCTGGTGATGTTCCTTCTGAACTGCATCAGCATCTATACATCCTGTCAATTGAAAGTCAAGACATCAAAGCCTAATACAGCCAACATCAATTGGCAAGCAAAACCTCATGAAAGGCTGCAAAAAGTCAGAATCTTACAGTGCATTCTGCTTCATGTCTGCAGTTGAATAAGGGAGGGAATACTCCTCACTTCAGGGTGTTGGCCGGCTTGATCCTCCTTCCTGTTCCTCTTCTGAGCCCCTGAAAATATACAATTGACACAAGATTAGTAGAAATTCAAAACAATGCAACAAATCACACAAATTCAAGTAAAAAAATCATTACAACAAAATGAGTTGAAAAATCAGTTAGCAAACAATGACAGTTAAGTTAGGAAGAGGAATGAATGGGAATGGGGAGGAGGGTGGTTAGTTATGTTAGAATAGGGAGGGGGATAGGACAAAAGAAAGAGAGAAAAGAGAAAAAAAGCAAAAAAAAATACTTCCATATAAGCTTCCATGGCTGTTGATGTGGCTCCTGGTGATGTTCCTTCTGAACTGCATCAGCATCTATACATCCTGTCAATTGAAAGTCAAGACATCAAAGCCTAATACAGCCAACATCAATTGGCAAGCAAAACCTCATGAAAGGCTGCAAAAAGTCAGAATCTTACAGTGCATTCTGCTTCATGTCTGCAGTTGAATAAGGGAGGGAATACTCCTCACTTCAGAGTGTTGGCCGGCTTGATCATCCTTCCTGTTCCTCTTCTGAGCCCCTGAAAATATACAATTGACACAAGATTAGTAGAAATTCAAAACAATGCAACAAATCACACAAATTCAAGTAAAAAAATCATTACAACAAAATGAGTTGAAAAATCATGACAGTTAAGTTAGGAAGAGGAATGAATGGGAATGGGGAGGAGGGTGGTTAGTTATGTTAGAATAGGGAGGGGGATAGGACAAAAGAAAGAGAGAAAATAGGAAAAAAAAGCAAAAAAAAATACTTCCATATAAGCTTCCATGGCTGTTGATGTGGCTCCTGGTGATGTTCCTTCTGAACTGCATCAGCATCTATACATCCTGTCAATGGAAAGTCAAGACATCAAAGCCTAATACAGCCAACATCAATTGGCAAGCAAAACCTCATGAAAGGCTGCAAAAAGTCAAAATCTTACAGTGCATTCTGCTTCATGTCTGCAGTTGAATAAGGGAGGGAATACTCCTCACTTCAGGGTGTTGGCCGGCTTGATCCTCCTTCCTGTTCCTCTTCTGAGCCCCTGAAAATATACAATTGACACAAGATTAGTAGAAATTCAAAACAATGCAACAAATCACACAAATTCAAGTAAAAAAATCATTACAACAAAATGAGTTGAAAAATCAGTTAGCAAACAATGACAGTTAAGTTAGGAAGAGGAATGAATGGGAATGGGGAGGAGGGTGGTTAGTTATGTTAGAATAGGGAGGGGGATAGGACAAAAGAAAGAGAGAAAATAGAAAAAAAAAGCAAAAAAAAATACTTCCATATAAGCTTCCATGGCTGTTGATGTGGCTCCTGGTGATGTTCCTTCTGAACTGCATCAGCATCTATACATCCTGTCAATGGAAAGTCAAGACATCAAAGCCTAATACAGCCAACATCAATTGGCAAGCAAAACCTCATGAAAGGCTGCAAAAAGTCAGAATCTTACAGTGCATTCTGCTTCATGTCTGCAGTTGAATAAGGGAGGGAATACTCCTCACTTCAGAGTGTTGGCCGGCTTGATCCTCCTTCCTGTTCCTCTTCTGAGCCCCTGAAAATATACAATTGACACAAGATTAGTAGAAATTCAAAACAATGCAACAAATCACACAAATTCAAGTAAAAAAATCATTACAACAAAATGAGTCGAAAAATCATGACAGTTAAGTTAGGAAGAGGAATGAATGGGAATGGGGAGGAGGGTGGTTAGTTATGTTAGAATAGGGAGGGGGATAGGACAAAAGAAAGAGAGAAAATAGGAAAAAAAAGCAAAAAAAAATACTTCCATATAAGCTTCCATGGCTGTTGATGTGGCTCCTGGTGATGTTCCTTCTGAACTGCATCAGCATCTATACATCCTGTCAATTGAAAGTCAAGACATCAAAGCCTAATACAGCCAACATCAATTGGCAAGCAAAACCTCATGAAAGGCTGCAAAAAGTCAAAATCTTACAGTGCATTCTGCTTCATGTCTGCAGTTGAATAAGGGAGGGAATACTCCTCACTTCAGGGTGTTGGCCGGCTTGATCCTCCTTCCTGTTCCTCTTCTGAGCCCCTGAAAATATACAATTGACACAAGATTAGTAGAAATTCAAAACAATGCAACAAATCACACAAATTCAAGTAAAAAAATCATTACAACAAAATGAGTTGAAAAATCAGTTAGCAAACAATGACAGTTAAGTTAGGAAGAGGAATGAATGGGAATGGGGAGGAGGGTGGTTAGTTATGTTAGAATAGGGAGGGGGATAGGACAAAAGAAAGAGAGAAAATAGAAAAAAAAAGCAAAAAAAAAATACTTCCATATAAGCTTCCATGGCTGTTGATGTGGCTCCTGGTGATGTTCCTTCTGAACTGCATCAGCATCTATACATCCTGTCAATGGAAAGTCAAGACATCAAAGCCTAATACAGCCAACATCAATTGGCAAGCAAAACCTCATGAAAGGCTGCAAAAAGTCAGAATCTTACAGTGCATTCTGCTTCATGTCTGCAGTTGAATAAGGGAGGGAATACTCCTCACTTCAGGGTGTTGGTCGGCTTGATCCTCCTTCCTGTTCCTCTTCTGAGCCCCTGAAAATATACAATTGACACAAGATTAGTAGAAATTCAAAACAATGCAACAAATCACACAAATTCAAGTAAAAAAATCATTACAACAAAATGAGTTGAAAAATCAGTTAGCAAACAATGACAGTTAAGTTAGGAAGAGAATGTAGGGGAAAGGGCAGGAGGGTGGTTAGTTATGTTAGAATAGGGAGGGGGATAGGACAAAAGAAAGAGAGAAAATAGAAAAAAAAGCAAAAAAAATACTTCCATATAAGCTTCCATGGCTGTTGATGTGGCTCCTGGTGATGTTCCTTCTGAACTGCATCAGCATCTATACATCCTGTCAATTGAAAGTCAAGACATCAAAGCCTAATACAGCCAACATCAATTGGCAAGCAAAACCTCATGAAAGGCTGCAAAAAGTCAGAATCTTACAGTGCATTCTGCTTCATGTCTGCAGTTGAATAAGGGAGGGAATACTCCTCACTTCAGGGTGTTGGCCGGCTTGATCCTCCTTCCTGTTCCTCTTCTGAGCCCCTGAAAATATACAATTGACACAAGATTAGTAGAAATTCAAAACAATGCAACAAATCACACAAATTCAAGTAAAAAAATCATTACAACAAAATGAAATGAAAAATCAGTTAGCAAACAATGACAGTTAAGTTAGGAAGAGGAATGAATGGGAATGGGGAGGAGGGTGGTTAGTTATGTTAGAATAGGGAGGGGGATAGGACAAAAGAAAGAGAGAAAATAGGAAAAAAAAGCAAAAAAAAATACTTCCATATAAGCTTCCATGGCTGTTGATGTGGCTCCTGGTGATGTTCCTTCTGAACTGCATCAGCATCTATACATCCTGTCAATTGAAAGTCAAGACATCAAAGCCTAATACAGCCAACATCAATTGGCAAGCAAAACCTCATGAAAGGCTGCAAAAAGTCAGAATCTTACAGTGCATTCTGCTTCATGTCTGCAGTTGAATAAGGGAGGGAATACTCCTCACTTCAGGGTGTTGGCCGGCTTGATCCTCCTTCCTGTTCCTCTTTTGAGCCCCTGAAAATATACAATTGACACAAGATTAGTAGAAATTCAAAACAATGCAACAAATCACACAAATTCAAGTAAAAAAATCATTACAACAAAATGAGTTGAAAAATCAGTTAGCAAACAATGACAGTTAAGTTAGGAAGAGAATGTAGGAGAAAGGGCAGGAGGGTGGTTAGTTATGTTAGAATAGGGAGGGGGATAGGACAAAAGAAAGAGAGAAAATAGGAAAAAAAAGCAAAAAAAATACTTCCATATAAGCTTCCATGGCTGTTGATGTGGCTCCTGGTGATGTTCCTTCTGAACTGCATCAGCATCTATACATCCTGTCAATTGAAAGTCAAGACATCAAAGCCTAATACAGCCAACATCAATTGGCAAGCAAAACCTCATGAAAGGCTGCAAAAAGTCAGAATCTTACAGTGCATTCTGCTTCATGTCTGCAGTTGAATAAGGGAGGGAATACTCCTCACTTCAGGGTGTTGGCCGGCTTGATCCTCCTTCCTGTTCCTCTTTTGAGCCCCTGAAAATATACAATTGACACAAGATTAGTAGAAATTCAAAACAATGCAACAAATCACACAAATTCAAGTAAAAAAATCATTACAACAAAATGAGTTGAAAAATCAGTTAGCAAACAATGACAGTTAAGTTAGGAAGAGGAATGAATGGGAATGGGGAGGAGGGTGGTTAGTTATGTTAGAATAGGGAGGGGGATAGGACAAAAGAAAGAGAGAAAATAGAAAAAAAAAGCAAAAAAAAATACTTCCATATAAGCTTCCATGGCTGTTGATGTGGCTCCTGGTGATGTTCCTTCTGAACTGCATCAGCATCTATACATCCTGTCAATGGAAAGTCAAGACATCAAAGCCTAATACAGCCAACATCAATTGGCAAGCAAAACCTCATGAAAGGCTGCAAAAAGTCAGAATCTTACAGTGCATTCTGCTTCATGTCTGCAGTTGAATAAGGGAGGGAATACTCCTCACTTCAGGGTGTTGGCCGGCTTGATCCTCCTTCCTGTTCCTCTTCTGAGCCCCTGAAAATATACAATTGACACAAGATTAGTAGAAATTCAAAACAATGCAACAAATCACACAAATTCAAGTAAAAAAATCATTACAACAAAATGAGTTGAAAAATCAGTTAGCAAACAATGACAGTTAAGTTAGGAAGAGAATGTAGGGGAAAGGGCAGGAGGGTGGTTAGTTATGTTAGAATAGGGAGGGGGATAGGACAAAAGAAAGAGAGAAAATAGAAAAAAAATGCAAAAAAATACTTCCATATAAGCTTCCATGGCTGTTGATGTGGCTCCTGGTGATGTTCCTTCTGAACTGCATCAGCATCTATACATCCTGTCAATTGAAAGTCAAGACATCAAAGCCTAATACAGCCAACATCAATTGGCAAGCAAAACCTCATGAAAGGCTGCAAAAAGTCAGAATCTTACAGTGCATTCTGCTTCATGTCTGCAGTTGAATAAGGGAGGGAATACTCCTCACTTCAGGGTGTTGGCCGGCTTGATCCTCCTTCCTGTTCCTCTTCTGAGCCCCTGAAAATATACAATTGACACAAGATTAGTAGAAATTCAAAACAATGCAACAAATCACACAAATTCAAGTAAAAAAATCATTACAACAAAATGAGTTGAAAAATCATGACAGTTAAGTTAGGAAGAGGAATGAATGGGAATGGGGAGGAGGGTGGTTAGTTATGTTAGAATAGGGAGGGGGATAGGACAAAAGAAAGAGAGAAAATAGAAAAAAAAAAGCAAAAAAAAATACTTCCATATAAGCTTCCATGGCTGTTGATGTGGCTCCTGGTGATGTTCCTTCTGAACTGCATCAGCATCTATACATCCTGTCAATTGAAAGTCAAGACATCAAAGCCTAATACAGCCAACATCAATTGGCAAGCAAAACCTCATGAAAGGCTGCAAAAAGTCAGAATCTTACAGTGCATTCTGCTTCATGTCTGCAGTTGAATAAGGGAGGGAATACTCCTCACTTCAGGGTGTTGGCCGGCTTGATCCTCCTTCCTGTTCCTCTTCTGAGCCCCTGAAAATATACAATTGACACAAGATTAGTAGAAATTCAAAACAATGCAACAAATCACACAAATTCAAGTAAAAAAATCATTACAACAAAATGAGTTGAAAAATCAGTTAGCAAACAATGAAAGTTAAGTTAGGAAGAGGAATGAATGGGAATGGGGAGGAGGGTGGTTAGTTATGTTAGAATAGGGAGGGGGATAGGACAAAAGAAAGAGAGAAAATAGAAAAAAAAGCAAAAAAAATACTTCCATATAAGCTTCCATGGCTGTTGATGTGGCTCCTGGTGATGTTCCTTCTGAACTGCATCAGCATCTATACATCCTGTCAATTGAAAGTCAAGACATCAAAGCCTAATACAGCCAACATCAATTGGCAAGCAAAACCTCATGAAAGGCTGCAAAAAGTCAGAATCTTACAGTGCATTCTGCTTCATGTCTGCAGTTGAATAAGGGAGGGAATACTCCTCACTTCAGGGTGTTGGCCGGCTTGATCCTCCTTCCTGTTCCTCTTCTGAGCCCCTGAAAATATACAATTGACACAAGATTAGTAGAAATTCAAAACAATGCAACAAATCACACAAATTCAAGTAAAAAAATCATTACAACAAAATGAGTTGAAAAATCAGTTAGCAAACAATGACAGTTAAGTTAGGAAGAGGAATGAATGGGAATGGGGAGGAGGGTGGTTAGTTATGTTAGAATAGGAAGGGGATAGGACAAAAGAAAGAGAGAAAATAGAAAAAAAAGCAAAAAAAATACTTCCATATAAGCTTCCATGGCTGTTGATGTGGCTCCTGGTGATGTTCCTTCTGAACTGCATCAGCATCTATACATCCTGTCAATTGAAAGTCAAGACATCAAAGCCTAATACAGCCAACATCAATTGGCAAGCAAAACCTCATGAAAGGCTGCAAAAAGTCAGAATCTTACAGTGCATTCTGCTTCATGTCTGCAGTTGAATAAGGGAGGGAATACTCCTCACTTCAGGGTGTTGGCCGGCTTGATCCTCCTTCCTGTTCCTCTTCTGAGCCCCTGAAAATATACAATTGACACAAGATTAGTAGAAATTCAAAACAATGCAACAAATCACACAAATTCAAGTAAAAAAATCATTACAACAAAATAAGTTGAAAAATCAGTTAGCAAACAATGACAGTTAAGTTAGGAAGAGAATGTAGGGGAAAGGGCAGGAGGGTGGTTAGTTATGTTAGAATAGGGAGGGGGATAGGACAAAAGAAAGAGAGAAAATAGAAAAAAAATGCAAAAAAAATACTTCCATATAAGCTTCCATGGCTGTTGATGTGGCTCCTGGTGATGTTCCTTCTGAACTGCATCAGCATCTATACATCCTGTCAATTGAAAGTCAAGACATCAAAGCCTAATACAGCCAACATCAATTGGCAAGCAAAACCTCATGAAAGGCTGCAAAAAGTCAGAATCTTACAGTGCATTCTGCTTCATGTCTGCAGTTGAATAAGGGAGGGAATACTCTTCACTTCAGGGTGTTGGCCGGCTTGATCCTCCTTCCTGTTCCTCTTCTGAGCCCCTGAAAATATACAACTGACACAAGATTAGTAGAAATTCAAAACAATGCAACAAATCACACAAATTCAAGTAAAAAAATCATTACAACAAAATGAGTTGAAAAATCAGTTAGCAAACAATGAAAGTTAAGTTAGGAAGAGGAATGAATGGGAATGGGGAGGAGGGTGGTTAGTTATGTTAGAATAGGGAGGGGGATAGGACAAAAGAAAGAGAGAAAATAGAAAAAAAAGCAAAAAAAATACTTCCATATAAGCTTCCATGGCTGTTGATGTGGCTCCTGGTGATGTTCCTTCTGAACTGCATCAGCATCTATACATCCTGTCAATTGAAAGTCAAGACATCAAAGCCTAATACAGCCAACATCAATTGGCAAGCAAAACCTCATGAAAGGCTGCAAAAAGTCAGAATCTTACAGTGCATTCTGCTTCATGTCTGCAGTTGAATAAGGGAGGGAATACTCCTCACTTCAGGGTGTTGGCCGGCTTGATCCTCCTTCCTGTTCCTCTTCTGAGCCCCTGAAAATATACAATTGACACAAGATTAGTAGAAATTCAAAACAATGCAACAAATCACACAAATTCAAGTAAAAAAATCATTACAACAAAATGAGTTGAAAAATCAGTTAGCAAACAATGACAGTTAAGTTAGGAAGAGGAATGAATGGGAATGGGGAGGAGGGTGGTTAGTTATGTTAGAATAGGGAGGGGGATAGGACAAAAGAAAGAGAGAAAATAGGGAAAAAAAGCAAAAAAAATACTTCCATATAAGCTTCCATGGCTGTTGATGTGGCTCCTGGTGATGTTCCTTCTGAACTGCATCAGCATCTATACATCCTGTCAATTGAAAGTCAAGACATCAAAGCCTAATACAGCCAACATCAATTGGCAAGCAAAACCTCATGAAAGGCTGCAAAAAGTCAGAATCTTACAGTGCATTCTGCTTCATGTCTGCAGTTGAATAAGGGAGGGAATACTCCTCACTTCAGGGTGTTGGCCGGCTTGATCCTCCTTCCTGTTCCTCTTCTGAGCCCCTGAAAATATACAATTGACACAAGATTAGTAGAAATTCAAAACAATGCAACAAATCACACAAATTCAAGTAAAAAAATCATTACAACAAAATGAGTTGAAAAATCAGTTAGCAAACAATGACAGTTAAGTTAGGAAGAGGAATGAATGGGAATGGGGAGGAGGGTGGTTAGTTATGTTAGAATAGGGAGGGGGATAGGACAAAAGAAAGAGAGAAAAGAGAAAAAAAGCAAAAAAAAATACTTCCATATAAGCTTCCATGGCTGTTGATGTGGCTCCTGGTGATGTTCCTTCTGAACTGCATCAGCATCTATACATCCTGTCAATTGAAAGTCAAGACATCAAAGCCTAATACAGCCAACATCAATTGGCAAGCAAAACCTCATGAAAGGCTGCAAAAAGTCAGAATCTTACAGTGCATTCTGCTTCATGTCTGCAGTTGAATAAGGGAGGGAATACTCCTCACTTCAGGGTGTTGGCCGGCTTGATCCTCCTTCCTGTTCCTCTTCTGAGCCCCTGAAAATATACAATTGACACAAGATTAGTAGAAATTCAAAACAATGCAACAAATCACACAAATTCAAGTAAAAAAATCATTACAACAAAATGAGTTGAAAAATCAGTTAGCAAACAATGACAGTTAAGTTAGGAAGAGGAATGAATGGGAATGGGGAGGAGGGTGGTTAGTTATGTTAGAATAGGGAGGGGGATAGGACAAAAGAAAGAGAGAAAATAGAAAAAAAAGCAAAAAAAATACTTCCATATAAGCTTCCATGGCTGTTGATGTGGCTCCTGGTGATGTTCCTTCTGAACTGCATCAGCATCTATACATCCTGTCAATTGAAAGTCAAGACATCAAAGCCTAATACAGCCAACATCAATTGGCAAGCAAAACCTCATGAAAGGCTGCAAAAAGTCAGAATCTTACAGTGCATTCTGCTTCATGTCTGCAGTTGAATAAGGGAGGGAATACTCCTCACTTCAGGGTGTTGGCCGGCTTGATCCTCCTTCCTGTTCCTCTTCTGAGCCCCTGAAAATATACAATTGACACAAGATTAGTAGAAATTCAAAACAATGCAACAAATCACACAAATTCAAGTAAAAAAATCATTACAACAAAATGAGTTGAAAAATCAGTTAGCAAACAATGACAGTTAAGTTAGGAAGAGGAATGAATGGGAATGGGGAGGAGGGTGGTTAGTTATGTTAGAATAGGGAGGGGGATAGGACAAAAGAAAGAGAGAAAATAGGAAAAAAAAGCAAAAAAATACTTCCATATAAGCTTCCATGGCTGTTGATGTGGCTCCTGGTGATGTTCCTTCTGAACTGCATCAGCATCTATACATCCTGTCAATTGAAAGTCAAGACATCAAAGCCTAATACAGCCAACATCAATTGGCAAGCAAAACCTCATGAAAGGCTGCAAAAAGTCAGAATCTTACAGTGCATTCTGCTTCATGTCTGCAGTTGAATAAGGGAGGGAATACTCTTCACTTCAGGGTGTTGGCCGGCTTGATCCTCCTTCCTGTTCCTCTTCTGAGCCCCTGAAAATATACAACTGACACAAGATTAGTAGAAATTCAAAACAATGCAACAAATCACACAAATTCAAGTAAAAAAATCATTACAACAAAATGAGTTGAAAAATCAGTTAGCAAACAATGACAGTTAAGTTAGGAAGAGGAATGAATGGGAATGGGGAGGAGGGTGGTTAGTTATGTTAGAATAGGGAGGGGGATAGGACAAAAGAAAGAGAGAAAATAAAAAAAAAGCAAAAAAAATACTTCCATATAAGCTTCCATGGCTGTTGATGTGGCTCCTGGTGATGTTCCTTCTGAACTGCATCAGCATCTATACATCCTGTCAATTGAAAGTCAAGACATCAAAGCCTAATACAGCCAACATCAATTGGCAAGCAAAACCTCATGAAAGGCTGCAAAAAGTCAGAATCTTACAGTGCATTCTGCTTCATGTCTGCAGTTGAATAAGGGAGGGAATACTCCTCACTTCAGGGTGTTGGCCGGCTTGATCCTCCTTCCTGTTCCTCTTCTGAGCCCCTGAAAATATACAACTGACACAAGATTAGTAGAAATTCAAAACAATGCAACAAATCACACAAATTCAAGTAAAAAAATCATTACAACAAAATGAGTTGAAAAATCAGTTAGCAAACAATGACAGTTAAGTTAGGAAGAGAATGTAGGGGAAAGGGCAGGAGGGTGGTTAGTTATGTTAGAATAGGGAGGGGGATAGGACAAAAGAAAGAGAGAAAATAGAAAAAAAAGCAAAAAAAAATACTTCCATATAAGCTTCCATGGCTGTTGATGTGGCTCCTGGTGATGTTCCTTCTGAACTGCATCAGCATCTATACATCCTGTCAATTGAAAGTCAAGACATCAAAGCCTAATACAGCCAACATCAATTGGCAAGCAAAACCTCATGAAAGGCTGCAAAAAGTCAGAATCTTACAGTGCATTCTGCTTCATGTCTGCAGTTGAATAAGGGAGGGAATACTCCTCACTTCAGGGTGTTGGCCGGCTTGATCCTCCTTCCTGTTCCTCTTCTGAGCCCCTGAAAATATACAACTGACACAAGATTAGTAGAAATTCAAAACAATGCAACAAATCACACAAATTCAAGTAAAAAAATCATTACAACAAAATGAGTTGAAAAATCAGTTAGCAAACAATGACAGTTAAGTTAGGAAGAGGAATGAATGGGAATGGGGAGGAGGGTGGTTAGTTATGTTAGAATAGGGAGGGGGATAGGACAAAAGAAAGAGAGAAAATAGAAAAAAAAGCAAAAAAAATACTTCCATATAAGCTTCCATGGCTGTTGATGTGGCTCCTGGTGATGTTCCTTCTGAACTGCATCAGCATCTATACATCCTGTCAATTGAAAGTCAAGACATCAAAGCCTAATACAGCCAACATCAATTGGCAAGCAAAACCTCATGAAAGGCTGCAAAAAGTCAGAATCTTACAGTCCATTCTGCTTCATGTCTGCAGTTGAATAAGGGAGGGAATACTCCTCACTTCAGGGTGTTGGCCGGCTTGATCCTCCTTCCTGTTCCTCTTCTGAGCCCCTGAAAATATACAATTGACACAAGATTAGTAGAAATTCAAAACAATGCAACAAATCACACAAATTCAAGTAAAAAAATCATTACAACAAAATGAGTCGAAAAATCAGTTAGCAAACAATGACAGTTAAGTTAGGAAGAGGAATGAATGGGAATGGGGAGGAGGGTGTTTAGTTATGTTAGAAAAGGGAGGGGGATAGGACAAAAGAAAGAGAGAAAAGAGAAAAAAAGCAAAAAAAAACTTCCATATAAGCTTCCATGGCTGTTGATGTGGCTCCTGGTGATGTTCCTTGTAAACTGCATCAGCATCTATACATCCTGTCAATTGAAAGTCAAGACATCAAAGCCTAATACAGCCAACATCAATTGGCAAGCAAAACCTCATGAAAGGCTGCAAAAAGTCAGAATCTTACAGTGCATTCTGCTTCATGTCTGCAGTTGAATAAGGGAGGGAATACTCCTCACTTCAGGGTGTTGGCCGGCTTGATCCTCCTTCCTGTTCCTCTTCTGAGCCCCTGAAAATATACAATTGACACAAGATTAGTAGAAATTCAAAACAATGCAACAAATCACACAAATTCAAGTAAAAAAATCATTACAACAAAATGAGTTGAAAAATCAGTTAGCAAACAATGACAGTTAAGTTAGGAAGAGGAATGAATGGGAATGGGGAGGAGGGTGGTTAGTTATGTTAGAATAGGGAGGGGGATAGGACAAAAGAAAGAGAGAAAATAGAAAAAAAAGCAAAAAAAATACTTCCATATAAGCTTCCATGGCTGTTGATGTGGCTCCTGGTGATGTTCCTTCTGAACTGCATCAGCATCTATACATCCTGTCAATTGAAAGTCAAGACATCAAAGCCTAATACAGCCAACATCAATTGGCAAGCAAAACCTCATGAAAGGCTGCAAAAAGTCAGAATCTTACAGTGCATTCTGCTTCATGTCTGCAGTTGAATAAGGGAGGGAATACTCCTCACTTCAGGGTGTTGGCCGGCTTGATCCTCCTTCCTGTTCCTCTTCTGAGCCCCTGAAAATATACAATTGACACAAGATTAGTAGAAATTCAAAACAATGCAACAAATCACACAAATTCAAGTAAAAAAATCATTACAACAAAATGAGTTGAAAAATCAGTTAGCAAACAATGACAGTTAAGTTAGGAAGAGGAATGAATGGGAATGGGGAGGAGGGTGGTTAGTTATGTTAGAATAGGGAGGGGGATAGGACAAAAGAAAGAGAGAAAATAGGAAAAAAAAGCAAAAAAATACTTCCATATAAGCTTCCATGGCTGTTGATGTGGCTCCTGGTGATGTTCCTTCTGAACTGCATCAGCATCTATACATCCTGTCAATTGAAAGTCAAGACATCAAAGCCTAATACAGCCAACATCAATTGGCAAGCAAAACCTCATGAAAGGCTGCAAAAAGTCAGAATCTTACAGTGCATTCTGCTTCATGTCTGCAGTTGAATAAGGGAGGGAATACTCTTCACTTCAGGGTGTTGGCCGGCTTGATCCTCCTTCCTGTTCCTCTTCTGAGCCCCTGAAAATATACAACTGACACAAGATTAGTAGAAATTCAAAACAATGCAACAAATCACACAAATTCAAGTAAAAAAATCATTACAACAAAATGAGTTGAAAAATCAGTTAGCAAACAATGACAGTTAAGTTAGGAAGAGGAATGAATGGGAATGGGGAGGAGGGTGGTTAGTTATGTTAGAATAGGGAGGGGGATAGGACAAAAGAAAGAGAGAAAATAGAAAAAAAAGCAAAAAAAATACTTCCATATAAGCTTCCATGGCTGTTGATGTGGCTCCTGGTGATGTTCCTTCTGAACTGCATCAGCATCTATACATCCTGTCAATTGAAAGTCAAGACATCAAAGCCTAATACAGCCAACATCAATTGGCAAGCAAAACCTCATGAAAGGTGGCAAAAAGTCAGAATCTTACAGTGCATTCTGCTTCATGTCTGCAGTTGAATAAGGGAGGGAATACTCCTCACTTCAGGGTGTTGTCCGGCTTGATCCTCCTTCCTGTTCCTCTTCTGAGCCCCTGAAAATATACAACTGACACAAGATTAGTAGAAATTCAAAACAATGCAACAAATCACACAAATTCAAGTAAAAAAATCATTACAACAAAATGAGTCGAAAAATCAGTTAGCAAACAATGACAGTTAAGTTAGGAAGAGGAATGAATGGGAATGGGGAGGAGGGTGGTTAGTTATGTTAGAATAGGGAGGGGGATAGGACAAAAGAAAGAGAGAAAATAGAAAAAAAAGCAAAAAAAATACTTCCATATAAGCTTCCATGGCTGTTGATGTGGCTCCTGGTGATGTTCCTTCTGAACTGCATCAGCATCTATACATCCTGTCAATTGAAAGTCAAGACATCAAAGCCTAATACAGCCAACATCAATTGGCAAGCAAAACCTCATGAAAGGCTGCAAAAAGTCAGAATCTTACAGTGCATTCTGCTTCATGTCTGCAGTTGAATAAGGGAGGGAATACTCCTCACTTCAGGGTGTTGGCCGGCTTGATCCTCCTTCCTGTTCCTCTTCTGAGCCCCTGAAAATATACAATTGACACAAGATTAGTAGAAATTCAAAACAATGCAACAAATCACACAAATTCAAGTAAAAAAATCATTACAACAAAATGAGTTGAAAAATCAGTTAGCAAACAATGACAGTTAAGTTAGGAAAAGGAATGAAGGGGAAAGGGGAGGAGGGTGTTTAGTTATGTTAGAATAGGGAGGGGGATAGGACAAAAGAAAGAGAGAAAAGAGAAAAAAAGCAAAAAAAAACTTCCATATAAGCTTCCATGGCTGTTGATGTGGCTCCTGGTGATGTTCCTTCTAAACTGCATCAGCATCTATACATCCTGTCAATTGAAAGTCAAGACATCAAAGCCTAATACAGCCAACATCAATTGGCAAGCAAAACCTCATGAAAGGCTGCAAAAAGTCAGAATCTTACAGTGCATACTGCTTCATGTCTGCAGTTGAATAAGGGAGGGAATACTCCTCACTTCAGGGTGTTGGCCGGCTTGATCCTCCTTCCTGTTCCTCTTCTGAGCCCCTGAAAATATACAACTGACACAAGATTAGTAGAAATTCAAAACAATGCAACAAATCACACAAATTCAAGTAAAAAAAATCATTACAACAAAATGAGTTGAAAAATCAGTTAGCAAACAATGACAGTTAAGTTAGGAAGAGGAATGAATGGGAATGGGGAGGAGGGTGGTTAGTTATGTTAGAATAGGGAGGGGGATAGGACAAAAGAAAGAGAGAAAATAGAAAAAAAGCGAAAAAAATACTTCCATATAAGCTTCCATGGCTGTTGATGTGGCTCCTGGTGATGTTCCTTCTGAACTGCATAAGCATCTATACATCCTGTCAATTGAAAGTCAAGACATCAAAGCCTAATACAGCCAACATCAATTGGCAAGCAAAACCTCATGAAAGGCTGCAAAAAGTCAGAATCTTACAGTGCATTCTGCTTCATGTCTGCAGTTGAATAAGGGAGGGAATACTCCTCACTTCAGGGTGTTGGCCGGCTTGATCCTCCTTCCTGTTCCTCTTCTGAGCCCCTGAAAATATACAATTGACACAAGATTAGTAGAAATTCAAAACAATGCAACAAATCACACAAATTCAAGTAAAAAAATCATTACAACAAAATGAGTTGAAAAATCAGTTAGCAAACAATGACAGTTAAGTTAGGAAGAGGAATGAAGGGGAAAGGGGAGGAGGGTGGTTAGTTATGTTAGAAAAGGGAGGGGGATAGGACAAAAGAAAGAGAGAAAAGAGAAAAAAAGCAAAAAAAAACTTCCATATAAGCTTCCATGGCTGTTGATGTGGCTCCTGGTGATGTTCCTTCTAAACTGCATCAGCATCTATACATCCTGTCAATTGAAAGTCAAGACATCAAAGCCTAATACAGCCAACATCAATTGGCAAGCAAAACCTCATGAAAGGCTGCAAAAAGTCAGAATCTTACAGTGCATTCTGCTTCATGTCTGCAGTTGAATAAGGGAGGGAATACTCCTCACTTCAGGGTGTTGGCCGGCTTGATCCTCCTTCCTGTTCCTCTTCTGAGCCCCTGAAAATATACAATTGACACAAGATTAGTAGAAATTCAAAACAATGCAACAAATCACACAAATTCAAGTAAAAAAATCATTACAACAAAATGAGTTGAAAAATCAGTTAGCAAACAATGACAGTTAAGTTAGGAAGAGGAATGAATGGGAATGGGGAGGAGGGTGGTTAGTTATGTAAGAATAGGGAGGGGGATAGGACAAAAGAAAGAGAGAAAATAGAAAAAAAAAGCAAAAAAATACTTCCATATAAGCTTCCATGGCTGTTGATGTGGCTCCTGGTGATGTTCCTTCTGAACTGCATCAGCATCTATACATCCTGTCAATTGAAAGTCAAGACATCAAAGCCTAATACAGCCAACATCAATTGGCAAGCAAAACCTCATGAAAGGCTGCAAAAAGTCAGAATCTTACAGTGCATTCTGCTTCATGTCTGCAGTTGAATAAGGGAGGGAATACTCCTCACTTCAGGGTGTTGGCCGGCTTGATCCTCCTTCCTGTTCCTCTTCTGAGCCCCTGAAAATATACAACTGACACAAGATTAGTAGAAATTCAAAACAATGCAACAAATCACACAAATTCAAGTAAAAAAATCATTACAACAAAATGAGTTGAAAAATCAGTTAGCAAACAATGACAGTTAAGTTAGGAAAAGGAATGAAGGGGAAAGGGGAGGAGGGTGGTTAGTTATGTTAGAAAAGGGAGGGGGATAGGACAAAAGAAAGAGAGAAAATAGAAAAAAAAGCAAAAAAAAATACTTCCATATAAGCTTCCATGGCTGTTGATGTGGCTCCTGGTGATGTTCCTTCTGAACTGCATCAGCATCTATACATCCTGTCAATTGAAAGTCAAGACATCAAAGCCTAATACAGCCAACATCAATTGGCAAGCAAAACCTCATGAAAGGCTGCAAAAAGTCAGAATCTTACAGTGCATTCTGCTTCATGTCTGCAGTTGAATAAGGGAGGGAATACTCCTCACTTCAGGGTGTTGGCCGGCTTGATCCTCCTTCCTGTTCCTCTTCTGAGCCCCTGAAAATATACAACTGACACAAGATTAGTAGAAATTCAAAACAATGCAACAAATCACACAAATTCAAGTAAAAAAATCATTACAACAAAATGAGTTGAAAAATCAGTTAGCAAACAATGACAGTTAAGTTAGGAAGAGAATGTAGGGGAAAGGGCAGGAGGGTGGTTAGTTATGTTAGAATAGGGAGGGGGATAGGACAAAAGAAAGAGAGAAAATAGAAAAAAAAGCAAAAAAAATACTTCCATATAAGATTCCATGGCTGTTGATGTGGCTCCTGGTGATGTTCCTTCTGAACTGCATCAGCATCTATACATCCTGTCAATTGAAAGTCAAGACATCAAAGCCTAATACAGCCAACATCAATTGGCAAGCAAAACCTCATGAAAGGCTGCAAAAAGTCAGAATCTTACAGTGCATTCTGCTTCATGTCTGCAGTTGAATAAGGGAGGGAATACTCCTCACTTCAGGGTGTTGGCCACCTTGATCCTCCTTCCTGTTCCTCTTCTGAGCCCCTGAAAATATACAACTGACACAAGATTAGTAGAAATTCAAAACAATGCAACAAATCACACAAATTCAAGTAAAAAATCATTACAACAAAATGAGTTGAAAAATCAGTTAGCAAACAATGACAGTTAAGTTAGGAAGAGGAATGAATGGGAATGGGGAGGAGGGTGGTTAGTTATGTTAGAATAGGGAGGGGGATAGGACAAAAGAAAGAGAGAAAATAGAAAAAAAAAAGCAAAAAAAATACTTCCATATAAGCTTCCATGGCTGTTAATGTGGCTCCTGGTGATGTTCCTTCTGAACTGCATCAGCATCTATACATCCTGTCAATTGAAAGTCAAGACATCAAAGCCTAATACAGCCAACATCAATTGGCAAGCAAAACCTTATGAAAGGCTGCAAAAAGTCAGAATCTTACAGTGCATTCTGCTTCATGTCTGCAGTTGAATAAGGGAGGGAATACTCCTCACTTCAGGGTGTTGGCCGGCTTGATCCTCCTTCCTGTTCCTCTTCTGAGCCCCTGAAAATATACAACTGACACAAGATTAGTAGAAATTCAAAACAATGCAACAAATCACACAAATTCAAGTAAAAAAATCATTACAACAAAATGAGTTGAAAAATCAGTTAGCAAACAATGACAGTTAAGTTAGGAAGAGGAATGAATGGGAATGGGGAGGAGGGTGGTTAGTTATGTTAGAATAGGGAGGGGGATAGGACAAAAGAAAGAGAGAAAATAGAAAAAAAAGCAAAAAAAATACTTCCATATAAGCTTCCATGGCTGTTGATGTGGCTCCTGGTGATGTTCCTTCTGAACTGCATCAGCATCTATACATCCTGTCAATTGAAAGTCAAGACATCAAAGCCTAATACAGCCAACATCAATTGGCAAGCAAAACCTCATGAAAGGCTGCAAAAAGTCAGAATCTTACAGTGCATTCTGCTTCATGTCTGCAGTTGAATAAGGGAGGGAATACTCCTCACTTCAGGGTGTTGGCCGGCTTGATCCTCCTTCCTGTTCCTCTTCTGAGCCCCTGAAAATATACAACTGACACAAGATTAGTAGAAATTCAGAACAATGCAACAAAGCACACAAATTCAAGTAAAAAAATCATTACAACAAATTGAGTTGAAAAATCAGTCAGCAAACAATGACAGTTAAGTTAGGAAGAGGAATGTGGGGGAAACGGTAGGAGGGTGTTTAGTTATGTTAGAATAGGAAGGGGGATATGACAAAAAAATGAGAGAAAAGAGGAAAAAAGCAAAAAAATACTTCCATATGAGCTTCCATGGCTGTTGATGTGGCTCCTGGTGATGTTCCTTCTGAACTGCATCAGCATCTATACATCCTGTCAATTGAAAGTCAAGACATCAAAGCCTAATACAGCCAACGTCAATTTGGAAGCAAAACCTCACAAAAATTGGCATTAGTGTATGAAGTTTGCGTAAAATACCTTAAACTAGAAATATGTCCATAGGACATGAATGCCCCGCCGAGGGTATATTAGTAATGCAACATTTTAACACAAATTGAGAAAAGTGAGGTCAAGGTCAAAGGAAAGGTCAAGGTCAAAAAATGTTGATGCAGTTGAAAAAGGTTACATCAGTATGTATTAGCATATGAAGTTTGATGAAAATATAATGAATGGTTTCTTTAAAAATGAGCTAAACACTAATTTAAGAAAAGTGAGGTCAAGGTCAAAGAAAAGGTCAAGGTCAAAATATATTGATGCAGTTGAATAGCTCTTATCGGTATGTATCAGCATATGAAGTTTGAAACTAATTTAAGAAAAGTGAGGTCAAGGTCAGAGGAAAGGTCAAGGTCAAAAAATGTTGATGCAGTTGAAAAGGTTACATCAGTATGTATCAGGATATGAATTTTGTTAAAAATATCTTGAATGGTTTCATTAAAACTGAGCTTAACACTAATTTAAGGAAAGTGAGGTCAAGGTCAAAAGAAAGGTCAAGGTCAAAAAAATGTTGATGCAATTGAATAGCATACATCAGTATGTATCAACATATGAAGTTTGATTACACTATCTTGAATGGTATCTTTAAAACTGAGCTAAACACCAATTTAAGAAAAGTGAGGTCAAGGTCAAAAGTAAGGTCAAGGTCAAAAAATGTTGATGCAGTTGAATAGCTTACATCAGTATGTATCAACATATGAAGTTTGATTACACTTTCTTGAATGGTATCTTTAAAAATGAGCTAAACACTAATTTAAGAAAAGTGAGGTCAAGGTCAAAAGAAAGGTCAAGGTCAAAAAATGTTGATGCAGTTGAATAGCTTACGTCAGTAGGTATCAACATATGAAGTTTCATTACACTATCTTGAATGGTATCTTTAAAACTGAGCTAAACACTAATATAAGAAAAATGAGGTCAAGGTCAGAGGAAAGGTCAAGGTCAAAAAATGTTGATGCAGTTGCATAGCCCTCATCAATATCTATCAGCATATGAAGTTTGATAAAAATATCTTGGATAGTTTCTTTGAAACTGAGCTTTGAACAGAGCTAAACGCAAAGTGTGACGGAAGGACAGACGGAAGGACGGAAGACGGATATGACTAACACTATATGCCCCGGCCATATTCATGGCGAGGCATAAAAATGTTTTTTAAGTTTTTGAACTCAATATTCAATAAAGAGTAAAGTCAAAGGTTATTGGGAAGATTAAGGTAAAAAAAAAATTGACACAGTTGATAAATTACCAAATTATGTACCAAGGCATAAGATTACATCAAAATATCTTGAAAAGTTTCTTGAATCTGAGCTAAAAGTGAGGTCAAGGTCAAAAGGAAGGCCAAGGCTAATTTTTGATCCAATTCAAAAGCACTCACTAAATTGTATTAGTGTATGAAGTTTGATTAAAATATCTAGACTTGTTTCTTTGAATATTAGCTAAAAATTTTGAAACTTTGAGAAAAGTAAGGGTCAAGGTCAAAGGAAAGGTCTAGGTCAAAAAATATTGATGAAATCGAAAAATACTTACCAAGATGTGTCAGCATATAAAATTTAATAAAAATATCTTAAAGTTCTTTGAAGCTTAGCTAAAAACAAATTTTAGAAAGGTGACATCAAGGTCAATGGAAAGATCAAGGTAAAAAAAGTTGGGAAAGTTGAATAGCTCTCATCAGTATGTATCAGAACATATAGGTTTGATAAAAATATCTTAAATAGTTTTTCTTTGAAACTGAGCTATCATACATTTTTATGTGAGGTCAAGGTCAAAGGGAAGGTAAAAAAATGCTGATGCAGTTGAATAACTCTCATCTATATGTATCGGCATATGAATTTGATAAAAATAACTTGAAATTGAGCTAATTGCAAAGTGTGATGGAAGGACAAATGGAAGGACAGATGTCTGGGCCATATTCATGGTGAGGCATAAAAATATATAATAGAAACACAGTTGTGTGTTTAATTTGTACAAAAAAACTCAGTTTCTTGGTTCAAGGGAAATGTATAAACAAAGCTTGATCTGTCAGTTGTTTTATTTTTCACTGCATCATTTCATTTAACCTGTGTCTTGGTAAATCTCCCTGCAACTATAATTGCATCTGTTTCCAGTGGTTCTGTGGCTAAAAGAAATATTTAAAATGCAAACTGCATATCAGTGCTGATTTTCATAACTTACATGTACATAAATTTATGCAAGTTAAATGCCTAGCTATACAATGTTGGGGTAATCTGTTTTCAAACTGTCAACTAATTAATGATTAACAGTAAACGCAGAGATCATTTTACTTTATCAATGTTATGTAGTTGTCTTTTGCTTGTTTTGGTTGAGATATCACTGTATGGTTTATAAATCATTTTATAAAATGCACAATTTGTTGTTATTTGTTTGCTTAAGGGTTAACTGCCCTTTGTTTTGAAAAGTCTGGTAGGTAGCAAGACCCCTATCTCCCGTTTTCTGAGGATAAACACGGAGGTGCCTAGACCTGTTAAATGCTTTATGTCAAAGTGAAAAGAAAATTTTAAAAGGCCTAACCCCCCCTCCCCTCCCAGTAATTCATGCTTTCCATACTAGTAATAAATGACCACCTTAAGCCCACAATGAAGCCAAAAACCATTGGCCTGGGAGTCATGAATTTTATCATTTTGGTAGCAGAACTAAGTGCAGTTATAACCATGCCAACAGTTTGACTGCTTGGTTTCCAGCAGAAAAAAATATTTTGCATTTCGTTAGCCTCACCATGGACCTGGTGTCTCTACCCTTGTGTCATTAAATTAACAAGGAGATGGGTGGACATGACGAGCGATAAGCCTATAGTGTGACAAACATGAAGATGAAAAATTAAATTTCAATTATATCAAAATTTTCCTTGATATTTCGTCTAGCATTAAATTATACTTTATGTAAAATCTCTATAATTTGCAAAAATCCCTCAAAGATTGAAATTATTTGCCTGTGAAATATTAGACACACACTAAAGCGGGCAAAAAGAGTCATTTTCTCATACTATAATACTATTTTTCGATATGAGTGGGTCTTCGCTCCACCTTTTTGAAAGTTAATCCACAAAGTTTGCATAAAAATATACATTTTTTGGTTACCAAAAATATGGAGCAATGACCCACTATACCTTAAAAATATACTTTTATGACATAACATTCGCATCTTTTCGAGAAATACTTGAAGTCCATTAAGTCAAGGGTCATATCACAAACATGATTTAAATGCCACTATTCATCAGGACTTGTGTAGTCTAGTGGTTAGCGTGCTAGTCTCGGAAGAAAATAATACTCAGGATTTTTATTGCTAGGGTTCGAACCCACGAATACCACATTAATTTATTTAATAACAGAATAAATTTTGCCGAGAAAATTTTCCTCAGAAAAGTTTTGTTTATCATAATTTCATAAATTTCAATAATGAGAACTTTACTCTGAATACTAAATTCACAAACTGAACATGATTTTTTTTATATCTGAATCCATAGGCTTTCTGCACGCTATGTTCGCCCATCTCCTTTCTATAAACAATGGTAAAGGATTCACTGCATAATATAACCATGCCGACAAATTTCCACTTTGAAATCAAGCGGTAAAGAAGATCATTAAATATTTTCAATGTATAATACATGCAATTTCACTACAATAGACTATATATAGTAACAGAGAAAATCTATTTGTTACCCGATTCACCAACTGGCGATAAGCAGTCTTTTTCCACGGCTTAAAAATACTTTGTCTAAAACACTATCAATTCATGCATCGGACTCCAACAAATATTTCTTCATAGAAGGCTTTTTTCAGGAAATTCAACAAGCTCCTTTGATCGAATTTGTTGTTCGCGCCACATGTCAGAATTTTAAACTCATAATTTCGATCCCGATGCAAATTTGACGGAATTTATAAACAAACAAATTATATTAATTCCTTTGCCCCTCCAATTATAGACATTTTCTGCAATTAACATACAATATGTTCTGCCTCTAAACAGGATACAAATATTCATGCCTCAAGTCCGTATTGCAATATAAGGGCCGTAACTAAGTTTCTGGGATGGGGTGCGGGGAGTATCTGAGCTAGACTTTTTTTAATGGGTGCCATTTCGATGGATTCTGGTGCATTTTTAGTCAGTTTTTCACATTTTAAATTAATGAAATCAAGCAGCTACCATAAAACAGAAAATTTATTAGTTTGTTTAGTCTCAAAAATCGATTTTTTTTTCTAAAAGGATCAGATTGTGAACGGTTTTCTTTTAAGAAACTTAACTAATTCGCAAGTATTATTCATTTAAACGTTTACCTTAATGTTTGTTTATCTGGAAGCTCCCGTAAAACATTTTCCATATAAAATTGTATATAAATTATTCTGCAGCGTTAAGTTGTCTGGTATTGTTTGTTACTGCTTTGTGAATTCAGTAGTGAATAATGGTCAAAGACCAAGCTCTACCTGTCTACGTGATATAAGTACTATTCATTATCTACTGTGGTCATTAGAGTGTAAAATAGTAAAATAAAGAGTACACAAACAAATCTTTTGTTTTATAGTGAATTTCAACTGAAATTCAGGTGTACTTTC